CCCCAAAACCCCAAAACCCCAAAACCCCAAAACCCCAAAACCCCTATCAAAAACTCATATATTGAATTCAGTAAGACAGCAAGGAAAATAATATATCTTTAACACTCTTGTTGAAGATATGATAATGAGGCTTAATTACCATTTTGTACCCTTGGAAGCATGTTTGTAACCTCTCGAAGCATGGCTGGCTTCTTTTCAGACCTCTTTATACCAGATTTTCGCATCTTAACCCTCGACATCAAGTTGAGCTTCTTACTTCAGAAACTATTGGTTTCATTATCTGTGAAATATGGCAAGTCATTCTCTTCATAAAACATATTTCTTTTCTTGAGATTTAGGAGTCTTTTTACACCTGATTTGGCCCGATCACGTACTTTCAAGCTTACTGTTTTTGGCTATAAAAGAGTATTTAGTAGGACAGAGTAATAGAGATATCAAGCCTATGGTCATTCACTTACAACATTCAAATGCCCATTCTTTGATTTTGGAGCCGGGTAATGAATCGTTCTCTTGGTCTTCTCACAATCTGATATTAAATTCTGGAGGATCTTATCAACTGGAACGTAATTGTCCTGAGTTGTTAAAGATTTTCTAGCCTCTTGAAAGCTTCTCATAGACTCTTCAGGAGTGGAAGGATTGGTTTCTTTGGAAGCTTCATCAGTTCTTACTCCAATCTCAACTTCTCCAGTCGAAATGTTTAAACTAATAAACTTTTTAGAATGAGCAGGTTGATCTTGGCTGTAAGCCTCTTTTTCTTCATGTTCGATAGGCTTTTTTCGAGCAGAAAGAGCTAGTTTCACAGAGTTGAAAGCAGAAGGAACATCTGAGAGTAATACTACTCTACTGGAGTCATAACCTTCATATTGCCCAACCTTCTTAGTAAAGGAGTTATTTAACCACAAGTGGACTATTGATATTCTTCTTTTGAGTATTCTTTGAATGGAAACTTTTTGGTTTCAAGTTCCGAGCTCCCTTCGACTTCTAAAGAAATATTTTAGTCTAAAGCATACCACTTTCACGGCCAATTTAGCTGCCTCCGTGTGCGGCTGAGAAAGACTCGCATCAGAACTTTCCTTTTTTAAAATGAATGCTTTCTTGTTAAAATTGACAGAATTTTTCAATTTCAGATAATTCTTCAGTCAAATATCTAAATTTATTAAAATCAGATTTCTCCAAATGTTAATCCTATTTCTTACTTTGTACTGCTCCAGAGTTGGTAAATGGCCTATTATAAATTGTTTTGAAAGAGAGTTTTTGCACCTTCTTTCTCTGAGAGCCCTCAAAATCGATATACTCTCTTATCGGCATCACATAGCTTCTCTGAGTAGCCACATTTGGAGAGTTAACTATTTGAAACGATCTAAATTTACTAAATGAGCTAAAAATATTATATTAAAAATACTTGCTAATACTTTTGGGAATTTTTAGAAGTTTCAAGAAGAAATGAAAAGTTTCGAATGTATAATAACCACTAAACATGAGCTTTATCCCATCAAAACTGAAGTCCAAATATTCCCAAACATTGACCTCGAAGCACAGGAGAGATTCTCTTTCCTACACTTAGATAAATGAAGATAACTCTCAACTAAGAATTCTTCAAATTTGTGAATTAATGTACTGAAAAGATCGACTGGATTACCTTTCTTCAGACCCAATACTGGTTTCTTGAAAGTCTGTAAACTCATCAGAATTTAGACATGCGTTTGTGAATATTCTATTTTTGGGACGTCTTATCTACACAGATGGTTAGTCATCCAAGTCGTTGTTTTTAAATTTAGGCAACCAAATGGTCTCTTTAGCAATCAAAAGAGGTAGAAAACTCCCCAACACCCAAAAAACTCATTTGTCTGGATCAAATGCTTTTAAGAATCAAGAGAATGTGGAGCAAGTGGTATTATCAGTATCAAAGTTGTCAAATTTAAAGAAGAAGTTGGAGCCTCACCTTCATAATAGAAATTTGTCTTTTAATTTTTATCTAAGATCAGTATAAATTTTAATTTAAGGGGTTTTGGGGTTTTGGGGTTTTGGGGTTTTGGGG